ACCGTCCTGGGGGGGGTGAGTCCACTGGAAGGTCCCAACCGCCCTAACCGTGATTCGATCTTGCCCAGGAGGTGAACCCTGTGGTTCCACACCACATTTCCACCTAGATGTCAACTATTATTTAAATTTTCCCTAATATTTAAATGTATTTTAATATTTAAAAAATGATCATTGAGTAATGAAAAACAATTGCACTCTATAGTGGCTTTTTTAAAATCTTAAACAAAAAGATGGAAAAAACATTATTGAGAAAATCATAAATCACATCATATGTCTGCCAAGTATGTGTAAAATACATATAAAAATGTACCTAGGCTTAGAATTACGTACTGAACATATGGAGATAAAAGCATAGATTGCACATGAGAAAAGTGGCGCAAATGACCTTGGTTTAATGCTATTCATTTTATCATGAAAGCAGGAGAAAAGGATCAGCTCCTGTGCAATTAAAATGGAGCTGCTTATTATAAATTCATTGGGAATTTGTGTTAAAAAATCAACTTAGTGAAAAAAAATCCAATGCTCCATTTGTAGACTCTAGTGTTATTTAGGAAGATAGTATTTAATGTTTATATAATATTTAATATAAAAAGGAAAATGTGTTGTGTAAATTTGTGCTACGTTGATGAGTAAACTTCACCACCACGCAGTGTTCATTAATATGATAATGTGGCATTTCTTGATTTTGCATCTAATTCCTCTGAAATCTATTTTTTTTATTGAAGAATTATAAAAATTGCTTTCTACAGTCGGTAGTTTACTCTGTGTGCTACCTCAAATCTGCTTTCCTCTACATTCTGTGCTTTTAATTAAAACAATTTAATTTACGAGTACGAGGCAGTTTGAGTGCAGATAATGTTGTAGGACAACGGTCCACACAGGGTTCCACAAAGGGTCAGCAGAGGAAGTCATTCAGGGCAGAATGGATAACACTACTGGGTCTGTGTTATTTCATGTCCATGTCATTATTTCATCTGCATTTGTGACATTAGAAGCTGAATTTATTCATGTGAGTGCTGTGATGTTCGTGCAGAGGTCAGGACTGACACTTCACTCCTTTTCCAAATGCTGTTTTTTTAGGCTTAAAAGTGAGTAGAACATGAAAGGGAACTTAAAAAAGCCCTGTCCATCATTAGATTTCATGGGATACAGCCAGCATAAGAGAAACAATTAGGGATGAAAATTAGTCACTGGCCCAGTCACTACCACTTAGGGTCTCAGGAGTAATTAATTCCAACAGAAGAGGGAGAGGAACGCTGCCGTGGACAATTCTGACTCCCTGAACCATCGTGTTAGTGCTGCGCGTCTTCGGATCAAGGGCCGTCTTTTATCCCGGGCACTAACCTTTTCTGTCTGATTTTTCATGTCTCTGGGACTGTGAGTAATAGAGATCAAGAAACGGCTGATAGAGGCCAACAGATAACTGCTTTTATTAATGACGTCTGTCGGCAGTTCACACAGTCAGGTCTGAATATCTCTGGGGTTGTCAGCATTTATTTGGTTAGCCTTTAATTCCCATCCATCCATTTTCATCCGCTTAACCGGGTCGCGGGGCACATATATACATATATATGTTATATGTTATACATATACTGTATATATGTATAACGTCAAACTCAGTTCTGTTATTGGCATCTATTCAAATCAGCGAAGAGAGTTCATACAAAGAGGTTAAATAAATAAATAAAAAAACAGCAGTCAAATATCTTCTTCTTTCAGATACTTCCATTAGGATAATTTCAGTCTTGGTCTCTTGGTTACAAACCAGCGGACAGAAAGTTAGCCAGTAGCGTTGCTATAAAACTTAAAGCTCTTTGCATTTCAAACATATTGTGTATTTATTCTTTAAGCCAGATCCAAACTGTCCCTCCTGGCTACGTTGAAGATGGAGCTTCTTTATGACCCAGCAGTGCACCACCAATGTGCTCAATGCCATGCACTAATTCTTCTTTAAGGGCCACATATATAATGCTTTAAAACTATCCAAAGGCCAACTGGGCTTCTTAAGATACTAAAGCCTATTATGAAGTTGCACGGAAATGCAATAAATTTGCATGCAACTTAATAACGGTGCTTCCTAGTTATCTACTACACAGCAATGGCTTTTTATTAAACAGCAATGTAAATAATTGCAAACTATCCAGTCTTTAAATTGTAATGCATTTTTAATTAAAGATAAAACCAAACATAATAAAGAATTTTAATGACATTTAGAAATCACAGCATATTGGTAATCTTGTCTTTTTGATCCTGGTAAAATAAGGAAATGACACAAGCGGCTCCTGCGTACAGCACGTCCACTAACTGGCAGGCCGTAAATAATGCAAGTTTAAGCTCAGGGCCACGTACAACATGTTCAAGGACTAGTACTGGTCCCTGGACTTGACTTTGGACCCTCAGGTTCTACCTCTTCAGGGCTGCAGCCGAGAGCAGTGTAGTAGAGCATATACATATATTAACATATATAAATATATAGATTCTATAAAAAGATATATATTATATAAATATATATATACATATTGTTCACACTAATATACTGTATATATAAACATGTTTTTACAGTTAAGTTGAAGTCAAACTATAAATTTGCCAACTAACTTGAATGTTCACCTTTAAATGTGGTTTGAAAGCACAGAGTCGTGGGTGATTGTCTGTTTATAGAACATCCTGCTGTATATTTATGCCAGTGTCAAGTACTTTTTTTTTGGAGTGAAAATGTTGTTTCTTCCACTTCAGTGAATAAACAAATGATGAAACATACAGTAGAGAAAAACATTTGGATCTTTGAGCATGTAACCAGTCAGGCACCTGGGTTTATATAATCACAGTGTGAGGGTGGGTAAAATGATGAAAATGACAAATTGAAAATGAGAATGAATCAGCTGGCTCCTAGATTGAAAATCGTTAGAAACAGTTCAATGTTTTAACTGGTTTTCGATGAATTTTGGTTTAAAATGTTGATGATTTCTCTCATATAAATTGATACGGACATGTGTCTTAACAGGTTTTGAAATCATTACATTCTCAGAACTTTGACTTTACCCTCATCTTTTTCCCATTTCATAAACAGATTTTTTTTAATATCAATACACCCAGAATGGGGTCTCCATCTATATTAATAAGAAAACATGTTTTTTTAATACATGTAGTACTACCTTTACTGCATGTACACAAAGAATGTAGTAATCTAGATTTGGAATGTAGGACATTGCCCAAATTGACACACAACATGGCACAGGTGTGTGGGAAATGTTTCCCAGTTTCCTCAGTGGAATAACGTAGTCACCTCTTTTCTCACAGTTATTCAGAGCAATCCAAAAATATCCATTAGCACAAGGAGTGATTCTGTGGTGCTGTGTTTTATTATTAAAAGCCAACATTTGCTCATAACATTTGCATCCTAATAAGTGCAAGACAAGTTGGAACTAAGATGACACTCCAAATCCAATCTCCATAATGAGATTTATGGGGGGAAAGTGTTGCCTTTAATGCTCCAGTACATGCAGCGGGAGGAGCAGTGTAGGCGAATGTGTCAGTGATGCAGTTGATGTATTCACATAAGCATCAGTATGCTCCGTCATGCCTTTTTAGTGGAGCAAAGATGAGAGGCATGCAGATGGCCCAGGCCGGATCTGTAATCATTAAGTTTCTGGCTTTTTGGGGACAAATTTCCCTCTGATAGACTGTATTGTAGTGTTCTATTAATTTTCCTGCTCATATATTTCAGTGCGCTGTTGGTGTGCAGTGAGAGGAAACAGTGCCATCAGTCAGTTAAATGTACCAGAGAGAGTCCGTTTGGGCAGCTACAATGGCTAATTTCCTCTCTCCATCCTTTCTCACTCCATAACCAAAAGAATTTATCCACAGCTTTGACAGGAAAAAAATCACCGCCGCGGACGTTTGTGTGGTTTCGACGCGTGCCGTTCATCAGCAACAGGAGGAGAATGTGTCATTATGATGTCACGACTTTTTATTTGTTTGTTTAGAAACTTCATTGGAGTCAAAGCTGGGATGAACTAGGTTTCAGTGAAATGTGTGACTCTCCACTGGGACTGTCGGCACTTTACATCACAAATACTTGATGTCTGCTGCTGGAATGAAGTCACAGAGCCAAGGAAGTTCCTTGATAAGCTGCTTTGGATGTTTTAGACAGCTTTTCTGTGTGTTGTCTACTGGTTTGAGTACAAACAAGTACCTTCCAGTCTGTCCTCACAGACAGGATTCACAGTTATGTACTGTAAGGAACGGCATGAAAAGAACTGCACAAGGTTTGTATGAGTGCTTCGGCCGCCCCCTTTATTTACACCAGGGGTGCAGAGCACTTGATTTCAAGATGGCGTCGAGTACACGCGCAGCCCCGCCTCTCTGTCGCTACAGAACTGTTTTGTGGTGATTGTAAATATTTCTTTTACTTTACACTCGTAATATTTTTGCCCTTTTGCACCGTGGGTCTGAGAGGACTGACATGTCATTGTGCCATATGTCCTGGATTTATGGCATGTTTGACAATATGAAAGTTGACTTTGACTTTGACTTTGACTTTGACTTGACTTGACATGACAATAATTAGGTCTGGCAATCTACCAGTATATTGCTAAAGGAGTATGGGTATTTAGTATATTGATTAGTACAAGCAATTTAATTAAAATAAAATACAAATTTATAGTATGTAGTAGTGATCATATACGGTACTTCTACCAAATTTACCAAATTCTGTGTATGCATTTTGGAAAATTTGAAATTTGAACTACGGCAGGTTTTTAATCCAGGAGATTTAAGGCCACTATCTCCAAGTCTGTGATTCTTCTTTTTAAATCCACACGGTCAGTGATGTATGTCGATGCCTGACACTTTCTTCTTCCTTTTCTTTCTTTTCTGTAGCCGAAAGTTGAAAGTGCCGTGAAGGACAAAGCCCGGATTCTACACACCTGTAATTGGATGTGAGATTGTGTTGACCCGAGACCATTAAAATGGAGTTGCTATGGAAACTCATACTGTTGCTGTCATTGGTGGAGTGTCTGACAGGTGAGTCGCCCAAACATTTTTATTTTGTTGTCATAGAGGCCATGAATTCTTATTAGTAATCTTTTTTTATTTTTACGATGATGCTTTGGCATTCAGGAGAGATGACAGGTCAAGGAAACCAAAACATTTTATGGCAAAGGACAGATAGAGCTTTCCAACAATTTTTCAAAACAGCAGGAAAGCTTTGTGCTGTTTGTTTTTCATTGGCATATCAAGGGAGAAAAACCAAATTGTTCAAGTAATGAATGGCAGACAAGTCTGTCTCTTTTTTTTATCAGCCAGTTATTGCTTTTGGAAAAATGTGTGTCAGTTCTTACTTTCACTGAAAGACAGAATCCTCTTAAAATGAAGCGAGCAGTCATTCCTTTGTTAGCAGCGCCTCCATTGTTACCCTAATTAAGACTTTACTGGTAGTCGTGCAGAAATCTTGTCATTGATCTTCCCTTTAACGAGAGACCTAATTGTCCCCTCTTCTAAAATGTTTAAGGTCAAAAGCTAGCTCCCCTCAGAATGTGGCCGACTGAAGCTGATGACAAGATGAATAAGTGCTTTGTACTGAGAACACGGCATTCTAAGGAATGCATAATCTGTCACCTTGCCTTGTTCTAAATCAGCCGCTCCCTCCTCACAGCGGGAAACTAAAATAATAAGTGTGTGTGTTCTCCTCTGCTTCTGACTGTAGCCGTGTGTATTTGTTTTCTGTTCAAAAGTGCGGCAGCACGTCGCCACCTAAATTTGTCTACATGGCAATTAGCACCACTTATCACTGAATCCAATACACATCAGTGGATGTGTAATTAGGCCTTCCTCGGCGAACTGTGACTCTCTGTGGGATTATGATCTACAGCACAAATACAAGCGCCGGTGATAATCCTGACGTAAACTTCGCAGGTTTTGATCTGTGTTGAGCTGCCAATTAAATTTGTGGTGTGTGTGTTGACGACTAGATCACCGTCTCGTCAATCATCTGGTGTCAAAAAAAAAAGATTTTCAAAACAATTGTTTTCAAAACAAATTGGTGCTCCATTAAAGGCAGAGATTAAGTCCTTTGTGAGAAGCGTTGTGTTGCACATGCCTTGCCTCACTCTCAGGGCTCACACTCACAGTAGGTAACGCAGTGTAACTGAGCATTAATATTCAGTATGGGCCTACATTACATATGCTCAGCTTGCAAGACAAGTATGGTGCAATATAACGATAGGCCTAGAAAGCTTCTGTGCTCAGAGAATACATTTTAGTATGCAGATGTGCAGTACTGGGTAGACAAGCACTGTGTGAGCATTACAGACAGGTGTTGTTTACGTTGTTTACCTTAACCTGGGAAAGGAGAAAGGCCAAGGAGAAGTTATTCGCACAGTGAGTACGTCTTTAGTTAACCAGTCGCTCCTCACTACTCCTTACAGGTTTAAATAGCCTGGGGCAGGGGCAAGCTGTGTAAGCTGTGTCTTTGTGAGAGGAGGCAAAATAACCAGGTGATGTTTCATCACTGATCAAGAAAAGTGTGCCCTTTGAGGAGACACGGTGTAGTTAAAATGAGAAATGAGAACAGGCCATGGATGTTTGTTTTTTTGTTTTTTTCCTGTGTCATAAAGATGACGCTGGTCTGGTCATTAGAAATGTATAAGCAATACTTCTCTACAAACCCATGTCCTAAATGAATATTGTAGTATGGAATGATATCTGACATACATTAACTTACAGATCCATTATGAAAACCAAGGGTCAAGACCTGAATATGATTGAGTAGACCAGGGGTGTCCACACTTTTTTGGCCTGGGAGCTAAAGTGATCGACTTACATAAAACAAAATATACATATATATATATGCATGGGATAAAGTGATAGGACGTTGGTCCTACGACTGAATTCAAGGTATCCTCCTTCATCCCCTCGTCTTATCAACACCAGTTTGATGATCTTATGCATTTTTTTGTCTTCTTATCATACTTGCCTTATAAATCATACTTTTTACCATTCTGGATACTTTTATTCGGATTGGAAAGTGGGACCAGTCCCCGACGTAAGAGCTCTGGGGAAATTCAACTTCTTTTATTATGATAAATGAAAGTATAGCAATAGATAGTCAGAAAATAACTTCTATTCCCTTTTTCAGAATGTGTAGCTGAAGTTGAAAGCTGTGTGTTGCAGCTCTGACTAAGATGGACTTCCCAAGGACAGTGAGGTGATAGGACTGAATACCTGCTCTTACCAAAACACAAGAAATGGCACCATTGTGTGAAACAACTAGACATAGCTGTGATTGGTTTTGGTGTCTGTCCGTTCACTGGCTTGGAACAGATGAGCAGCCATAGAAATAGATGTTAATTAAATATGGTAATGTCTTTGGGAAATGAGATAATTTAGTTACAGCACTGCGTTTGTCATAGTTTGTCATAGAGATTTTAGTTAGTTACAGCACTGCGTTTGTCATAGTTGTCAAATTTAAATCTCTGTGATGTATCCCAGGAAACCCAGAGTAAATGGTTTTCACAGATTATAAATTGTCCTTTAGTTTTCTTTGGATTTCACTTTAAGTGTAAATGCCTTGAAGTTCTGAAGTGAGTGAGTGAGTGCAACTGACTTGGTCAAATCAGGTTTTACTGAATGAGACTGACTTTGAAAGGTACAAGTACCTCACAGACTGCTGCAATCAGTCTCAATGTAATAACATTCGGAGGCATCTGCTATTTGCAGTCAACATGTATAGAGGGAATGATTACAGTGAAGGAAAGTTTGAATCCAGAAATACATACAGATGTAACACTATTTCCATTCTAACAAGGTGGCATACAGCAGGAAATTGCCTTTGTTTCTGCACCGAGAGTGAAGCAGTTCCCATTTGCCTGCGAGTCACACCCCTGCATTGTTTTAAGACAGGTATAAAAAATATCAGCCTATTCATGACATGCCCCACGTTCACCCTAAATACATATTTACGAGACCAACTTGCAATTTTCTGCCTAGCCCATTTATTTGAAGGAGCTTAAGATGATATGCTGTGATAATGAAGTGCTGCTTCTGGGCAGCATTAATCCCTAATAACTACTTTTACTTTGCTTTGTATCCCCATGTGTGAATACAAGGATGACTGGATTTTCAAATATTGACTTCCCTCACTGATTTGTCGGAACATAGCAAAGCCTTTTAGGAATAGGTAATCCTAGGATTTTTTCTTCTTCTCAAGAGTTCTGTGTACGTTAAGCTAAGAAATATTCCTAGGTGACTCGCCTTCTGCTGCTAGGAGCGCCGTCAAAGATGTTGTTTTTTTTATCCACAGTTATTTTAAGGGGCTTAACAGCGTAGTTAACTGTGTTGTACTGTATAACCCAGATCCACCCACATGTGTCAGGTTGTTGTTTTTTCTTTTTTCTTTGTGTTGCATGTGTTGTTTATATCCACTGGGTATTTATACAAGATCATTTAATTTTACAAGTTAGTGTTAGAGTCAGAATGAATTATTCAGTACAGAGGTCACTGTATTAAATAAAACGTTTCTGTTTAAAGCTGTTACAATACGTTAGCATTAGTGTCGCCTACGTAGGGTAAAAGCTGTAATGGATAAAAGTGCATATGTTCCTGCTTGTTCTGGGGATTGCAGGCCAAAGTGCTTATAACTGGTAAATTAGCTGATGAGCTCATGACAGTTTGCTGTCATTACGTGTCAGCCTCAGCCACTCACGCAGTTGCGCCAAAGAAGTCACATCCTCGTCTTGGCTTTGTAACCAAGCTGAAAGCCTTTGATATTTCCTTTTTATTTCTTTGTTTTTTTTAAAAAAACAATTATGGCCAATATTACATCAGGTGACACTACATTTGCTAATTAGGCTCATACTGGTTATCATTGCTAATTAGCAACACTCCAGCTAACTCATACATACACTAAACATAACAGTAAAGTAGTTGTCCTAGCCTAGCACCTGGGTTAGCAGCAATCACTTCTCTCATTCACGTTGCAGTTTTCATTTATTGGCTTTTGGTAAAAAAATATTTTTTTGACAACAGTGGTTTCTCATTGTGACCTGAATGAATGAAGTAACATTTTAATGAGTCGCTTCTGTTATGGCTTCAGACCAGCAGCTCAACAGCCACCTGTAGAAGGAAAGCTAGCTTGTTTAGCTAGGCCTAAACATGTCCACAGTTGGTGGCCTTGTAAGCTCAAACCTTGGAGGAGAAACTGTAGGTTCCTAGGTTGAAAGTGCAGTGTTAAAATTGTGTAATAATTTAGAGTAATGCTCTATCCCACAGCCAATAATCTGTGTTTATTTGGTGTTTGGGATTATGCTGTGGCCATGGGTTTGATTTCCCAGGTCTAAAGGGTTTTTTACTTTCTGTGCTGGAGATAATGGCCTTTGTTTGTAGAAATTCCCTACGTAATTGTGGCTTTTCTTTTTCTTTTTAGTGAGAAAAAAGAACAAGAAATAATTGAACAAAAAGTTGGTCTTTGAGTGTTTTTAATCCAGAGAAACAGGATTGTCCAAAACAGATCAAGCTGTCTGTGTAAGGCTTCATTTCCCTTTTTATAATTCCACAGGCAAGAACATTTCCAAACTGACTATTGTGTCCCATCCTCCAGTAGCCTTATTAGTTCAAATCACAAGTTTTTCGATAATGTAGGTTGGTCTATATCAGACAGATCGAGTAAATAAGAAACCACATTTAACTGACGTTAAATATACTACTACTAATAATTAAATTATTAGTTAATAATAGTTTTTTGTCAGTCTATACATAGGTTTCTTTAATCAACCAGCAGAATGAAACAAACTTTAGACAGATGTTATGTTCACTACAGTACGGGAGCAGAGAGTAGGTAATCTTAGGTTCGATTCCCAGGAGAACCACAAACTTGTTAACACAAGAATTTCCCAGGTGCGGAATCAATCAAGTTCAAATATAAATGTTGTACATAGTAAAGTACATTCACAGTTCCTCTCACCATGTGACTAGGAACAAATATACTAAACCTCCCACTACTGGATAAATGATGAATGACCAGATTAACCTACAACCATGGTCTGCTGTTAAAAGGCACTGCAGACAGTCACCATGTTCATCCTGGTCTTTTTTTATAAATCTTCAATAACACAATTTGCCAGAAAAACAAACAAAACCAAAACACTTTTCCTGTGAATGCCCCCCTTCAGGTCATGAACACAAAGTCTGGTTTGCTTTCTGAAAGACAAAGTGTAACATTTTATGTTGAACATTGGTGAAGCCTCACACGTACAGTAATGTAAAAGGATTTTGGGTTTGTACAAATTCCTTTAGTCCTTCTGAGGTTTGTTCTGAGAAATTTGCACCAAAATCCAATTTGTCCCTCACTTTGTCACAAAATGAAACCGTCTAATGGCCAAATTAGGCATTCTGTTGCTGTAGCTGGAAACACTGTGGACCCATTTTTTACCATGATGAATGTTTCCATTAGTGTGTACCATAACAGCTGGTAAGTGACAAATAACCTCTTTTCCAATCCAGGGGAGGAAAAGGTAGGGATATTACTACAATTAGGTGACAAATGGTGCTCTCAGTAGCAGTATGTTGCCGGGTTTATGTAGACTTTCAATATAAAGAGCAACAAAAAGGGCTTTAATTGGCTTTTCCCACATATGGAGTTAGACCAGTCAATTTCTGTGTTTCTCAGTGAACGTAGTGTTGGACACCGTGGCTACAGAGGATGTTAGTAGACACTAGCTCTGTTGTTATGTGACTGTACCATGGTGATGTGTTTGAGACATTCCTCTCCCTGTTAACTCTGGTAGCTGCATTATTTGTTTAATCAACACACTAAACACTTCATTATACACAACAATAAGTCCCAGCAGTTTAGGTCTGACTGTATTGTTCTTAATGGGTCATAAAATGGCTCTGCAGTACTGTAGTACTACAGCACAACCGTACACAAACGAGTAATATCCATTTCCATTTTCTTTTCTAATTAACAGTTTTTGGGAGACCGTGATTCTGGAGAACACAAGTTACGCTTGTGGATGAACAATATTTAATCACAGTGAAATGGTGACCAGGATACAACATCAAATTACGTGGGTCAAACTAACCCAAACATGCCTTCTGCTCTGGAGCAGCATTTTCTAGCCCTGAGAAAGAGACCTTAACTGCCTACCTTATCTACTTGAACAGGGGGCAAGATGCTCTAAAAAGCAAGATTGGCTTTTTTATTTGATGCATAAAACCCCGAGGTGAAACCAATGGATTTGGGACCGCACAAACGACCAATACCTCCCCCACAGCCAACACCCCCTGCGCCTGTTTATTCATGCTGAGCTAAGCTGGAGGAATTCATTTGCTGTCAGCTAGTATTGAATTTGAGATTAGTTTTTATTTCAACCTCCGAAACAGCTCCCTCTGCTTTCCACTTGTGCTCAGTTCTGTGTTGTCTGAGGTGCCTCGAAGAAATGCCGGCACATATCACCGGCTGGCAGCAGGTGACAAATATGAGTACAGGCGGTGGGTTTTTATTAAAGATCTTTTCATAATGACCTCTTTCTATGTCCTGCAGGTTTGTGCAGGCAACTGCACTTCCCTGATCCAGCACTTCCTCATCTTTTTAATCTTCATGTGCTATGGAATGTGGCTGATGGGATTGGCAATCTGATTTCTGTTTTCAACCGAAGTTTGTGACTAATACATTCATCTAAGAAGTGTCTCCAAAAGGATTTTTTTTTTTTACATTATCGAATCAAATACAAATATTAATACATTCAAGTTGAGCCAGGTCCAGAAAAAAATGTCTTGTGTGAGCAACCGCGCTGGTCTGGCAGCTTAATGTTTAGTTAGCATGAAGACAGACAGAAAAGATTCCACTAACATCGCAGCAGTGGAAGACTTGCAGCTAGTTTGCATCATTTTAAACAATTTTAGGCTCCGAGCAAAGCCCGTGGAGATCAGTCCTCACTGGTTTTTATTTAGATCATCACAACATTTGTGCTGCCAAACAGTGATGCCAAACACGGGCAGCATCTAAATATATTTGTTGATTAATATCCTATTATTTAAATGTTGACTTTGTGTGATGCATTCCATTTTCCATATTTATTTATAATTTCATCTCCCTGCAACTCTAGCAAACGTGGCTGAGGGTGCACCGTGTTCTCACTGGTAATAACGCAAGTAGTTGCACTGGTTTAACGCCGTGATAACTGAGAGGTCCAGCCAATTAAATAATATTCTTTAAAATCTTTAAACTTCTAAATAAATAATGCCATGTTCTGGAAATGTTTTGTAGCAGCACCCGTTTTTCTTTTATTATTATAGGTCTTTTTGTAAACTGATTTATCTATAAATGATGGCACTGAAAATATAAAAGGCACCTTGGCCCATTTTGCTAAAAAAAATTGTTCATTACATGCGTGCAAATTTTCAGGGGTTAATTCAATTTGATCCATTTTAAATCGTTGTGTTAATTAATACCTAACGGGCTGGTTTGGCTTTAGCTCTAGTTTAAATATTTCCCCCCAAATTCTGCCATTGCAAATGTTTGTTTCTGGGCAACATAAAAAAGAGATGAGGTAGAATAATTAATCATGTCTTCTGGCAAGTTTGTGTACAATAAGGATTTGGGTTTAGATACACATGGAGTGTTTTCTTGGTAATCAATCATCTCTCAATGCTGCTTGGAAGGACGTGCTTCATTTAACAAAAATTATAATTGGATGACCTCAGAATTGTATCCCTGCAGAGAGAAACAATTAGTTTACAAGGTCCCTTGTCGAACATTCTCACCCTCACGGAGTTCTGCTCTTCTGTGTTGGGAGAAATAACTCCACGCTGTGTCTTCCTCTAAGTGACGTGACAGGGTTACAAACATAAACGTTATCATACAGCATCTTCTCACTTTTATTCCATCACTGAAATGCAAATGCATTTCGAAAAAATCCTTTAAAGTTCCCTTTTATGACGACGGGAGAAAAAAAAAGTGTTTATTGCAATAAAGTGTTGACTTTCATGGCCAATGTGTCACTGAGAGTTTACGTCTCCACAAAGAGAATAAATGATCACGCATCATTTTGAAAATCGTCTGTGTAATAATAATAATAGAACCGCACATGGAGACAAATTGGGGAAAACACAAGTCATAATAATGAAAAACGACTAATGTGCGCGCTGCACGTAACACTGATGTAAACGGAAGTTTTATTAAACGTCATTAACAAAAAGGCAATGGCGGTTCAAAAGGAACAATGGTAGTTTGGATACAATATGAAATAAAAGCAATTAGTGTCCTGGTTCCACAGGGAGAAAAAAAAATCAAAAGAGAAGAAAAGACAGCAAACAAAACGGAGTTTCTTTCATGAAATGGAAATGATCGGCTTTGTGTTTGTTTTATTCTCAAAGGCAATGTTTTGATGGATTTAATTTCTGTGCTGTTAAAATGAGGGTATGAATTTGAAGGCATTAGATCACGTTGCGTCGAAGCCAAGTGCAGAGAAGAAACCGACTTTGTCAAGTCAAGTCTGTACATTTGGATGTTTTCATTAACATTTTATGGGAGTTAAGAGCAGATTATGTGCTACCTCAGGGAGAAATAGTGATTTTGAGTGTGCGTGTCTGTGTGTTTTCTGTGTGTGTTGGAGAGAAAAAGACACTTTGATGTATATGTTTATTTATTTATTCTTTTTTGCTACACCAGGGAGTGAGGAGCAGCCGAGGCCAGTGTTTACCAAACAGCCTGGCAGTGTGGTTTTTCCCGTTCAGCCCGGTGAAAATCGCAGGGAGGTGGTGTTTAGCTGTGAGGCCCAGGGCCACCCTCCACCCATCTACAGGTAATACAAGAAACACACACACACACACACAGAGTTTCTCCTTGGCTTTTGATTTTGCTACATACCCCAGGGTAATACCCCAGGGCCGTCATGCGCAACATTTGATGGATAAAACGAGGGATTTGTGGACCTTATGGTTCCCTGCTCCTGGCTGCCTGCAGCGCTTAGCCCTGCTGTCAGTTATGGTTAATTTGAGAATGATGGATTAATTAGCCCAAGTTGCTGCCCTGTCATATATTTGCATCGTCAGACGGATATCGATCTGCTGCAGAGTGTTTCCTGCAGTCAGTATCGATGGCCATGAGCAGATCAAGACAAGTGCAGAGAAAATAAAAAACTCAGCTGCGACAGTATCATGACAGTGGAGTTTATTACAGAGATCATGTGACAAAAGAAGTCTTCTCCATATCTACGTTTCAGATGGTAAATGTTTCATGTACAGATTCACTGCTCCGGGCGTTGTAGACGCTGCCGCAGGTCATCTGATTTGGAGGTTATCGTTTCACAAATCACTTGATAGCAGCGCTGCAGACAAACAGTAGCTGTTTGTTGTCACTGTTGGACAAACTCAGTTCCCAGAGACTTTGCGAGGACAAATTGACATCCAGTTCCTGCCGAAATGAGGACCATTGAAAGGGGAATTTCAAACACGGGTCTGCAGTGAGGTGCATCAAGTGCATGTCCTATTAATTCATAATCAATCAAATGCGGCCACATAGATGTTGTACTGCTGTCGCTCTAATTAAATGCAAATTGCAAAGCCCAGCATTTAATGCCTAATGGGTTGTAACGATCTCTCATAACATCAGCATATTCAACCCCTAATGTGGCTTGAAGATCTTTGTTGCTGGGTCTAATAGACCCAAATGAAAATGAATGGAGAAGATTTTACTTGGATTCTCCGAGACACAGAAACACAGCTCTGGTAGCTTTAAATCAATTGTAACTCTAAAGTTTCTTTAAGAATTCATTTTCTAACACGTTCTGTACAATTTCTAACGTGTACTAGCACTTATATTCATCTCATTTGGCTTTAACCGGAGTTCCGTACAGTTTATGACACCATTGCGATTGAGCACCAGCTGTTACGAGACGTGTGAAAATGAATCAGTTTTGATGACGGACATCACTGCTACTCTTAGTTTAGTCATACTGTCATCACCGTGAACTTCTATCTTTTTTTAAATTAAGGTCACTGGTGACGAAAT